AAAATTACAATCAGTTTATAAACAGTCTTTTTGAAGAGCTGCATAGATAAACTATTCCTACCACAAAAAGAATGGCTATTTAGCTATAAACTCTTTCCTTTTCAGATATTATTAAATACTAAAAGGCTTTGAGTTTTGCAAGCCTCCTGCCTCTTTCAATCTGTTTGTCCCTATGGGATGGAGAATAGGTGTTAACTGTTTTCCTGCAGATGGACCCTTAAAATCCTGGTGAGAGCCCTAGGGACAGATGCTCAAATAATATTCATTTAAAAACACAAGCACTAACTGCTGAGATGAGAAGTGAGAAATAGCTACTTAAAAATTAGTAATTTAAAACTGAGAATGAGGCATTGATGGGAAAGATAGATGACTGAGAAAAATCTTGATAGGTAGGGAAATGATCAAAACTGATGGAGCATAGAAAATGTATATAATCAATAAGATTAACAATACTTTGGAAGCTAGAACAAAAGAAATTGGACAGCATACAGGTAAACATAGGCATAGTATACACTAAAATTTAAAAACTGAGCATGTTTATTTGAATGATAATACAATATTAATATGAAAGGCAACCTCCTTTTGGAAGTAATGAAGTGCTTTATTCAGGAGAATTCAATTTGATAGACAAGTCTTTGTGCTTTTTGAAGCTTATAACATCTAAACATTATAAATCAAAACTGTGACATATGGAAATATTCTGATTTATGAAAAATTAAAAAAAATTACTGTAGAAAGCATAAAATTATTAGTGAATAAGTGATAAGGATAGATATTAACTGACAAGAAAAAAGAAAATATTTCCTTGAATATAATCAGAAATAAAATAGATTTTATAGGCTTTCCTAAAGCATCTGGAAAACAGTTATTCAAATATATACAAATAAACAGATATCACACAAACAACTGTTAAAAATAGAAGATTATATCCTAAGAGACAATGAATTCATAGAGAGAAATAAGCAATACCATCTCTCTTTCTCCTGCCTGCAATTTTTGCACAGAAAAATTTTCTTCTTTAATTTCTATTTATCTCATGCTTGATATAATCTTCCTTCTTTATTCCCATATTTTTCCTTCTTCTCATCTCTAAATTCGTAAGACGAGGCATTCCCTATCAAAGGTGCAGCCACTGATTTTGACCTCTCCTATCGGAGTAGTTCCTAATAGTGCAGACTGTCCATCACATAGTAAGACAATTCCTTGAAGATGTCAAAGTCCCAATCTCCTGTGAGTGGCAACAGAATCTATAATTTCCTTTTTTTTTCATTCACTCATTCTTTCATCCTCAGGATAAACACATCCCCCGCAAGGCTAGCAGCATATGATCTGCCTGCATCAGGGGAAATTTCCATTCCAAAGGAAAACAGAAGTAGAAGAACCTGTTTGTAGCATCCTACAATTAGGACGCTTTACTAGGAGGAAGCAAAATGTAACTTCTGGTCCCTACTGCTGAATGTTTTCACATGCTAGATAGACACTGAATTAAAAGTAGGATCACTAAAGGAATATAGGTTAGACCACAAATTTGCTGTTTTCTAGCAATCTTCTAACCTGTAGGATGCTGAGCCAAACTTTCACAAAGCTCCTTTCATTCTAGCTTTATGATACTTCTATATCTGTCCGTCGTGGGGGAGGAACATCCCATACTTAAATACTTTGGATGCTGACAGATGTAAATCAGTCTTAACCTCAACACTGAGACTCTAATCAGTAGGTTCCCAAAATGTACTGTGTGCTAGTAAAATGCAAACTAGGTGAAAATGCCGGGCTACTCTATATTGAATAACAACTGCTAGCCTTGGCCAGCCGAATGCCTGCCCTCAGACAAGCAGGGAGAATGTTGCTCAGGAACCCCATGCTCAGGGCACGGCTATTTTCTAATTCAGTTCCTAAGCTCTTTAATTGAGCTCACACACCAAGCAGAGGAGAAGCTTCGGCAGAGACACATCTGCATTCTCGGTATCAGAATACAGTCACAAAACAGCTCTTAGCTCTCTAGACCAGAGCCCTTTTAAGCATGTCTACACTTCAGCTATTTTCAGGATGCTCAGCCAAGTCACATAATTGGTTCAGGCATTGACAGGAGTGGGTAGTTTTAAAGAGTGCTTTCTCCATATTTGTATAAGATGCAAGCAGAAACATCTAACTTACTTGGTAACTTTAAACTGTCTTGAACTTGCCTTGTGTTCTCATGTTTGTTATTGAAGTCCAACTAATGTGCAAATAATAGCAAGAAATACATGAAGCAATTTTTAAAAGGAGTAATTCCAACAACTTCGTATTGTGAGACAAGCAACAAATCATACAGCATTAATGTGGAAAACAAATGCCGAAAAAGTATTGGCTTTGCTCTTCTGCTATACTCAGTTATAAAGGAATATTAGTTTCCAGAAGCTGTTATAACATACTGAGCCATGTTTTTCCCTCCCAAGCAGGCTGTTATTCTCTACTACTGTTGTACCTTGCATTTAGGATAGCTTTATTAATAATCAAACTGAGGCATGCACTGCATGCTCTCAGATAAGCAGACAGAAGTCATAAATCTTGCCACTCCTACCCGGACCAGCAGCCAAGCCAATGCCTATCTTTGTCTAACAGATCAGAAAATGCAGATGTTGGGGCTTGTCTTGTTTTTAACCCAGCATAGGGACCTGCAATAGGCAGCAGCAGTACTTCTCATATAACAACAGCACACCCTAGAGAGAATGGCTGAATGTTCACTGTTACCTCAAAACAGAGGCAGAAAGCTTTAAAGGGGCCAGGAAAAGTCTATTTAATGCTGAGCTTGTTTTAATGGTCTCATATATGATTTCTTCTTCTTCATTTACACTGTTAATAATATGGCAATATATTGTTGCCCTGTAACAACAACAGTAGGGAATAAGGCATCACATAGCTACAGCTTAATCTGTAGCATGTGAAGTTTTATTAACTGTATGCAGTAGGTGCGCCTGTACGCTTTGTCAGGTTTTTACAGTCATGATAATCACTTTGCAAAAGTTCACTAGACTCTAGTAGTGCTCAACACCTTAAAAATTACAGTGATTAAATATGCTTAAGACAGGCCAGTACAAGCCAAATACGCAAGAGCAATTGTAAAACAGTCTTTAACTACCATATTCTTTTGCAGTGACATCCAAGATAGTAATGCAGGTATCCCATTAAGCTTGATATACTAGAACTGCTTCCACTGAACCTCCAGTCTGCTAGGATTTCTGTTGCATTTGTCACTATCAAAAATATTTTTTTTGACCAAATTCTTTTAGCATAACCAATAGTATTATACTATAATAGCTTCTTTGGGAACATAACCAGTGGAAAAAATTTATGGTAATAGTTTAACAGAATGGACAATTTATGTAGAGGCTACTCACATTAATGTAGGCAAAATATCCATATTATTTTTAATCAAGACAAAAATCTGGAATAGTTTAAAAGGTTATCCAGGAAAGAAATTTTGTTCTGCAAATATCCACATGAAAAATATCAGCCGTCTTCACCAAAAGAGTTGAGCAAAACTTGACATTTTTAGTCAGCAGGCTAAACCAAAGTTTTATCTAATTTTCAAATCAGTTTCCTCAAACAGAAAAATAAGAAAAAAAATTAGCTTGCAACACATCCTGGAAAAACATTGCAAAATAACAGCAAAAAAAAAAAAAATCTGCCCAGCTGTTATCAACTACCTGGCTTGACAAATAATAGGATAACTCCTAT